AGGACTGCTTTCAACGTGTCCCAGAGGTTTTGTTGTGTTGTATTGTCCTTTTCATTTAGTTCCAGGAATACGTTTATTTCTTTTTTAATTTCTCCTTTGACCCAGTCATCATTCAGGTGTGTGTTGTTTAATCTCCATGTGTTCATGTAGTTACTAGAGTTTCCACCGTTGTTGGTTTTAAGCTTTATTGCATTGTGGTCTGATAGAAGGCATGGAATTACTTCAATTTTTTTGTATTTGTTGAGGTTTGTTTTGCCCCAGTATGTGGTTGATTTTGGAGAAGGTGTCATGGGCGCTGAATAGAAAGTATATTCTTTGGTGCTTGGGTGGAATATTGGGTAGATATCTGTTAGGTCCATTTGATATGTGGTATTGTTCAATTCAGATGTCTCTATTAATTATCTGTCCTGTTGACCTATCTAATGGAAACAATGGTGTATTGACATCCCCTACTATTAATGAGTTGGGATTAATCTGGGTCTTAAAGTCCGATAGTACTGTTTTTATGAAGTTTGGTGCACCAGAGTTTGGTGAATATATAGTCATGATTGTAATATCTTCTTGGTCAGCTGTTCCTTTGATCAGAATGAAGTGACCCTCTTTATCTCTTCTGATTATTTTTAGTTTAAAGTCTATTTTATCAGATATTAGAATTTCAATGCCTGCTTTTTTCTTAGTATCATTCACTTGGTATATTTTTTTCCCATCCTTTTACCTTAAGATAATGCCTGTCATTGAAAGTGAGATGAGTTTCTTGCAGACAACAAAAAGTTAGGTTTTGTTTCTTAATCCATTCACCTAGTCTGTGTCTTTTGACTGGGGAGTTCAGTCCATTGATATTTAAAGTTATTAATGAAAGATGTGTTTTGATTCCTGCCATTTTTGTTCACATTCTTGGTATAGCTGTGCATTTCCACATTTATACCTTCATTGAGTTTCTCTTAACCCCTTGGGTATAGTCATTCCTTTCTTAAGCTCTTTGTATTGCTTCAAGAACTCTTCTCTAAAGGGTTGGTTTTGTGCACATGAATTCTTTCAGCCTATTTATGTCATGGAAGATTTTTCTTTCCCCTTCAGCTATGATAGACATTTTGGCTGAGTAAAGTAATCTGGGTTAGCGTCTGTGGTCATTTAGAACTGGGAATACTTTGGTCCAGGCTCCTCTGGCTTTCATAGTTTGCATTGAAAAGTCAGCTGTAACTCTGATGGGTTTTCCTTTATATGTGACTTGTTTTTCTTTTGCAGTTTTCAGTATTGTCTCTTTGTTCTGTACGTTTAGTGTTTTTACTATGACGTACCATTAAGAGTTTCTTTTCTGGTCCTGTCTATTTGGTGTTCTATATGTTTCTTGTATTTGTATGGACATGTCTTTCTTTAATTTTGGGAAATTTTCTTCTATAATCCTGTTGAAGATCTGGTCTGTGCCATTGACCTGGGGTTCTTCTTTTCCCCCAAGTTTTCTTATTGGGTTATCAAGTTTTTAAATTCCATCTTCATTTCAGCTTGCGTTTTCTTCAGTATTTCTCTCCCTTTCCTGAATTCACTTCTCAAGTCCTGGATTGTCTTCATCATTTAATTCAGCCATATATTTGTATTTCCATGATGTTCACCCTGAGGCTTTCTCCTGTTTATTCTAATTGGCTTACTGAGTGTTTCACTTCCTTCTTCATTTCAGCCTGAGTTTTCTTCAATATTTCTAGCTCTTTTCTGAATTCATTCAGAAGTTTATCCCTATCTTCCTTCAGTTATTTGATATCTTTGTGTGTTCTTTAAATTCACTGAATTCTTTTATTATGTTTATAATTGTTCTTTTGAGTTCCATGTCCTGTGTTACTCTAGGGGATTCTTATTGTACTCCTCTACAGGACTGTTGGTACTTGGTGAAGGTATATTATTTTGGGTTTTCATGTAATTTTTTTCTCTGTGACTTTGACATTTGGATTTCTTTTGTAGTTTCTGATTCTTATGTGAGACTCAAGCCTTCCTTTATTGAGTTTAGGTCTACTTTTTGTAAATTTTGTGTGCCTTTGTGGTTTTCTTGTTGGGCATGAAAAGCTGGTTGGTTTAGGCTTCCTGTTCTGCCTTTGATTTTATACTGGAGTGGTCAAATTGCTTTTGTCTTCAGGCATTCCCACAGAGGCCCAAGTCAGATGAGGATCAGATGCTTTCAGACTTTCTCCTAAGATCTGAATCCCTCCAGGAAAGATGCTGACCTTAGGAATTTGGGGGCTAGGCTGGCCTGGGAGCAGGGCCCAGGAAAAATGCTGGTCCCAGGAAGCTGGTGGCTATGCCACCCAGGGATACAAAGGGAGGTGGGGGAAGGAAGAGGCCCCAAGGGCTCCTGGGGACTACTGGGAGGAACTGGATTAGTCTAGATGCAAAGGATCAGGAAGCAGTGTGAACTCTGGGCCAAGAGGTCAGCCCAGGGGTCTGGAGTGCCAAGACAAGAAATGGGCCAGTACACAGGCCAGGAGGAGAGATGGGGTTGGGAGCAGGGATGGTGAATGAGGCTGGGGGAGTCAAGGCGCAGTGGGCACCATGGGACTTACCTAGGAAAGATGCTGGCACCAGGAAGCAAGTTTCTGTGCAGCCCAGGGATGCAAGGGGTGGGGGGCGGGACAAGGTCCAGAGGGCTCCTGGGGACTGCAGGGAGGGATTGGGTTGGCCTGGATGTGAAGGATCAGGAAGCAGCGATGGGATTCTGGGCCAAGAGGTCAGTCCAGGGGTCTGGGGTACCAATACAAGAAATGGGCCAATACCCAGGCTAGGAGGAGAGAAGGGGCAGGGGAGCTGGGAGGGTGAATGAGGCTGAGGGAGTCAAGGTGCTGTGGGCACTGCAGGACCCACCCAGGAAAGATCTTTTATTTATTTTTAAATTTTATGTTTATAAGTGTTTTCCCTACATATATGTAAGTGTACCTAATGTGAGTGCAGTGCCCATAGAGACCAGAAGAAAGTGTCACATCCCCTGGAACTGGAGTTACAGGCAGTTGTTATCCGCCATTGGGTGCTGGGACCCAAACCTGGATCCTCTGGAAGAGCAGCCAGTGCTCTTAACTGCTGAGCTGTGATTCGCATGAGTGCTTCTAACATAGTCCTGAGCCTGCCCCCTTCCTGGAGCATTACTTTCACTTGTTTCACTGAATACATTGCTGATTTTAGGATTTTGAAAAAAAATGCTTCTTACCTGAATCAACTATGAAAATGGAAAATGCAAGTATGTATTTTGCTGGTTTTTCCCTACCTGATGTTCTGTTTTTTTTTTTATATAAATCCAATTTTCTGACCTGTGTCATTTTCCTTCTCTCTGAAGCACCTTTACCTGCTTGCCAGCCCTCTTGCCAGCCCTCTCAGTCTTATCTTAAATGCCGTGTCTGATGTCCAGCATTGGCTCCCTGTGCCCCTGAGCTCAGGACTCTAGAATATTTGGCAAGGGCACTGGTCTAGGAACACCTAGTACCTGTGTGATTGACTACAATTAAAGTTCTAGATTTCCAGCTGGGCATGGTGGCAGTATTTGTACTGAATGCAAGTATGTGGGTTTTTTTTTTTTTTTTTTGAGACAGGGTCTCCCTTTAGCCCAGCTGTCCTGGAACTCACTATGTAGACCAGGCTGGCCTTGAACTCACAGAGATCTGCCTCAGGAGTGCTGGGATTAAAGGCATGTGCCACTACACCCAGCTAGTACGTGTCATTTTAATGGAAGTTATTTTGATACTGATCCTTGATCCATAAAATTCCAAACACAAATACTTTTTGACTTAACAAATTTTTAGACAAGTAAACTCTCACAATTATGAAAGAATGTTAAGTTTGTTGTAGCAAAGATAGGGGGAAATCTAAATTATTAATAAAAGACTGATTAAATAAAATATAGAGCACTATGTCATTATTGAACGTGTTTAATCCTCAGGGTACATATTGCCATAAGAGGATAACCCCCTTTTAGCCATAATGTCATGTTCTGAAAGAAAGATAGTACAGTTGTTCTAGGGATAAAAACTGGTACTCAGATGTCTTATACTTGTTAGAACTACAGAACCAGGCCACATGTGACTTTGAGGTTCCTTGTATGTAAACATTTGAACTCTGAAAGAAGTTTAAAGGTTAGAATTTGTTTCAGATAACTCATTTTTTCTCAGTGGGTGGAAAGCGGTCATGTACTTAAGGAAGCACCTAACGAGTTTCAGATTGACTCAGCTTCTTCATTTGTGTTAAAGACAGATGCACATTACTCCATACTGTCACTCCTCCTGTGTCTGTCCGATTCACCTTCAAACAGCAATTACGTGGAAACTCCCAGAGATAAAGAAGTGGGTATGTTACCAGATAAAAATCTATTGTGTTATTTAATTATCAAAATTTGCTTTTTTCCACTCTGTGTTATAATTCTCAGCACTCGGGAGGCAAGCAAGCGATTCCCTGTGAGTTCAAGGCCAGCCTGGTCTATGTAGTGAGTTCCAGGCCAGCTGGGACTACAGGAAGCCCCTGTCTCAAAAAGACTAAAAAATAAAATAAGGTTTCATGAATCCTAGGCTAGCCTCACTACGTAAGCCTGGATGGCCTTGAACTTGAGATCCTCCTGCCTTAAGTGTTGGGGTTGCAGGTGTGTGCCACCTTACCCATTATGCGATATTGGGGAGTCAAGCCTGGCACTCCATGCATCTAGGCAAGCATGAGCTACATCCTGGGCCCAAGTATCTCAGTGTTTTTAAATTTTGTTTCTTGAATGTGTTTTGAGTTTTATGTGAACTTTTTTCCTTGTAGTTTTAGTTTTTTTGAGGGTTTTTTGTTGTTTGTTTGGGTTTTTTCTGTTTTTGTTCTTGATTTTTTGCCAGATATTGATGACAAAGCTAATAAGGTTCTCTTATTACATTTTAGAAAAGAAAGATGATTTTGACTGGGGAAAATACTTGATGGAAGGCGAAGAAATTGACCTTGGTCCAAATGTGGACACACCAGTAAGTGGCAGTGGCTTTGCTGTTCATGTCTAAGTAATAGAAATAATCTTAAAGTGTCATTCTGCCTTAAATCATCTTAGCTAAAGAATGGGGCTGGAGGGGACTGGAGAGATGACTCAGCGGTTAAGAGCACTAGAGTGCTCTTACAGAAGACCCAGATTCAATTCCCAGCACCCACATGGCGGCTAACAGCCATCCGTAACTCCAGTTCCAGGGGATCCGACACCCTCTTCTAACCTCCGTGGGCATTGCCTGACACGAGTGTACTTAGCACATTCAGGCAATACACTCATACACATAAAAAACATAAATAAAATATTTTTTAAAAAAGAAAGAAATTGGGCTGGAGAGATGGCTTAGCAAGTAATGGTGCTTGTTGCCAAGCCTGACAACCTCACTTGGATCACTGGGGCCCACATGGTACAAGGAGAGGATTGACTCCTTCAAGTTGTCTTCTGACCTTGACATGTGAACCTGCTCATAACACATCCATGCACTCAAAATAAAATGCAATTTAATGGCACACGCCTTTAATCCCAGCACTTGGGAGACAGGGGCAGGCGGATCTTTGTGATTTTGAGGCCAGCCTGGTCTACATAGTGAGTTCTGGGACAGCTGGGCTACAAGGAGACCCTGTCTCAAAAAGATAAAATAAATAAATAGTAATTTAAAAATATTTTTTAAGTGAATTATCAAAGATTTTGTTAAGATTCTGCACCAAATTACTAGTACTAGGATTAAATACAAGTATCCTTAAAGGACTAGAGATTTTTTTTAATTTTAAAAAGCATATTTTATGTATAGTAATACAATTTAGATATTAGGTAGTACTATAATAGAATGATTTGGTATAGTTATAAATAGAAGTTAAAAGAGGGAATTTTCAGGTTACAAAACATCTCCCCCCGGAGCAAATTGTTTTTAATTGCTTTATAAATGGGTAAGGGTTAAAAGGACAAGTGTGTTCAGTGACCAGTCGTGTCTAATTTCTACTGCAGCAATGTCAGTGGAATTAAAAGAAAGCCCTGCTTTCACAATCACTACTTCAGATGAATGACATGTTGGATTCTTTTGGAATGCAGAAATGGTTCTTGTTACTTCAGTACACAAAAAGTTGAATTCACATATCTACCATGAAAAATTGAATCTATGATGGAGTTAAATCTAGGGAAAAAAGATAGAGTTACATAGCTCTTTCATGACTCCTGAACTTTTTTCCCCAGCAATGTGAATAGGAACATTTCCATGTATTCTTTTATTAAATATTTTATTATTTTTATTTTATGTATATATGTGTATTGCCTGCATGTAGGTAAGTGCACCTATGTTGTGCAATGCCCATGGAAGACAGAAGAGGCTGTCGGAGCCCCTGGAACTGGAGTTACGGACAGTTGTTAGCTGCCATGTGGGTGCTGGGATTCAAACCCGGGTCTTCTGCAAGAACAACTAGGTTCTTAACTGCTGAGCTATCTCTCCTGCCCCTAGGTCTCCTTTTTAAATATTTAGGCTTTATCCACACTTGCATATGCATGTATACATTATAGGCTAGGATCCATAATCTTGGGATTTTTACTCTTTCTGTTACAGAAACTAGCTTTTCTGTCCATATTGCTGGAAAGCTTTGGCTCTTCTGAAATGTGCTTTGTTTTTTTGTTTGTTTGGGGGTTTTTTTGGTCTTTTTGAGCCCGGGTCTCTCTGTGGCCCCAGCTGTTCTAGAACTCACTATGTAGACCAGGCTGGCCTTGAACTCACAGAGATCTGCCTGCTTCTGCCTCCCAAGTGCTGGGATTAAAGATGTGCGCCACCACACCCGGCTGTGCTTTGTTTTTAAACCTAAGTCAGTCTAGGTTTTACATTTTCAGCAGTAAGGTCTTTTTTCTCTTTAAATCAGAATTGGTCAGAAGATAGTGACGATGAAGATGCACAACAGCCCTTAAGCCGAGAAGACTCTGGGATACAAGTAGACAGGACCCCATTAGAAGAACAGGATCACAACAGAAGGGGGCCTCAGGTTGACTGGAAAGGTATTGCACATGGTTGAGTGCTGGGGTTTACTGACAAGAGTTCTCAAAGCTTTCTTGGCAGATAAGTCCTGCCATCGTTAACAAGACAAATCTTAAACTAATAGTAGTTCTTATGTATATGTGCCTGAGAAGAAACTGTAACAACAGGATCAGATCCCTGGCATCACTTTTAAAAAGTAGCACTATAAAATTAGGATGTACTTTTTTTAATAGTTCTGATAACTTAATTCTAAATGTTTAATGTTTCCCCTTTTTTAAAAAAAAAATTGGAAAAGGATTAACATTCCTAAATTAGTAACTAAATAGAGGGGAAAGATACATGCAGGGTTTGGAGGTTTGGGTTGTTTTTTTTTTTAATGCATTTTCATTTATTAGTGAGCAACTATGAATTGGTAGAAACTCGAAAATGCTGGACACTCACAGATGATGCCAATTTGTCATGGTTTTTCTTCCCTTATTTCTGATTCCCACTCCCTTTTCCCTTTCTCTGTCAACCAAGTTACTGGCATTTGTTGTCTATATGTTCTTAATATGCTGAGTTTTTGTGAAACATTGTGTTGGTTGGTATTAAATTATGTAACTGGCATTATATGTAAATTTTGTTCTCTTACCTTTTCATAAGACTACTAAGATCTGTCCATGGTACTCTAGGACCTTGTCTTCCTTTGCCCCTAATTACTGTGCAGGATTCTGCAGTTTGCAGTTTCATATTTCCATTACATGTTCCCTTATTGATAGGCCCCAAGTTGCTTTCACTAATCTGACTACTGGTTATTTAAGACTTTCTCATGTACCTGTTAGCTTGTCATTTTTGTGAATTTCTTGCTGATTTAGTGTCATTTGCTGGTCATTCCATTGGATTCATTCAATTTTGTTGCTTTGTAGTTTGGAGTTTCCTTTTAGACCGGGTTGCTGTAGCCTGGCTGGCCTTGAACTTGAGTCCATCCACCAGCCTCTGCTTTGTGAGTTCTGGATCATAGGAGTGTATCACCATGCCAAGCTCCTTTGGGGTTTTGTGAACTTCCTGCTCTCGACCCCACAGTTCTTTGTCAGTACCAGTTGACATCATATCTTGGGTTTAGGCATTTTACAGATAGCTTTTAGTCATCTCACTTAGTTTTTCCACAATATCCTTCAAAGGGAACCTGGATTTTTTTTTTTTTTTTTTTTTTTTTTTTGCCTATGAATTTTGGGGTCTGGAGAGATGACTCAGCAGTTAAAAGAAGTTGCTGCTGTTCTAGAGGACCTGAATTCAGTTCCCATTACCCATGTTGGGCAGTTCACAACTGCCTATAACTCCAGTTCCACGAAATCCAGCACTCTTCTAGCCTCCTCAGACACTATGCTCATCACACGCACACACACACACACACACACAAATAAATAAAATGTTTAAATCTTTTTCAAAAAATCTGAATTTTTCAAATGGACAGTATTTGGGTCTTGAAATTAAAATAACCATTTCCCTGTATTTTTTTCTTGTGTTTGTTTAAATACTGTTGAATTGGGCCAATTTGTTTGCCATGAGGCTAAGGATACAGTTTACTTTACTGCTACCTCATGACCCAGTTTTCTCAGCAGCACTGATTTTATAACTCATTCTTTCCACACTGTCATATGCCAGGTGCCCCTTTGTACTTTATTGCAGATTTTCTGTCTGTCACCGTAGTGCTAGTCTGCCCAAGGATAGATAGGCTATTTTTGTGGCTTTGTGATATTGTGTCTTCGTATACAGAAGGCAAGTCTTCCAATCCCTTCCTTTGTGCTTTTCAAATATCTTAGTGCTATGTGAACCTGTATTCTTTGAGAGACATTTTAGAAGCAGAATGACAAGTTCAGCTGGACTTTTGATTAGGGTTTTAGTGAACCTATAGATTAACTTGAGGAGGATTGCCATCCTTACTGTTATTAAACCTATATTCTACCTTGTATTATGTTTTAGAAATTTTATGTATTTGCTTACTTTCTTGGTATTGAACATAGAGTCTTGTGAATGCTAGGTAAGGGCTCTGACACTGAGGTACAGCCCCAGCCCTGTGAAATTTTTCTTTGTTTATTGGTAATGTTCTTTTTTGGTTTTTTAAGAAAGGGTTTCCCTGTAGCCCCGGCTAGCCTGGAGTTTGCTATGTAGACTAGACTGACCTCAGTCTCAGAGAGATCTGCCCGCCTCTGCCTCCCAAGTGCTGGATTAAGGCACAGGCCTGGCCCAGTAATGTTCACTTTAAAATTCTCAAGTATTCATTTCTATGTCTGTTAAATTTTTATTGTTACAAATATTGCCAGTTGGAGGCTTTTGCTTTCTTATTCCGGGTTTGGGGGAGCTCCTCTGGTTTCTGCACTTTGCCTGGGTTCAGCATTCTTGCTGAATTCTCATCTTCAGTTTAATAGTTTGTTGATTCCATTGGGTTTTTATATAGGTAATTTAGTATTATCTGCAGACATTCACAGTTTTATCTCCTCCTAATTCTTAAACTTTATGTCTTCATTGTGACAATTTGAGCGAGTGTAGGCCAGCCCTCTAGTTCACAGGCTAAGTAGTGGCAATGGGAGGGCCTTCCTGGATAGTCTCTTTCCAAGGAGAGACTTGGTCACCCGGAGATGAAGGGACATAATACACCGTTAAATTGACAGGTATTACATTTCTTCCAGTAGATGAGCCAGGTAGCCGAAGCTGGCTGGAACAGCATGTGGTCCGGCAGTACTGGACAACCAGACGCTCCCGGGTTTTGCACAGCTTACATTTACACTCCAATTTAGCTGCTGTCTGGTAAGAAATTGAACTTTTCATTTAGTGTAATGATAGAAGGAACTTGGATGTTTAAACATTCACTTTGATTTGTTATTTAAGTCAAATACATCCTTGAATTGTAGACTTCTGTAGACACTGTACTGAAATTGAACCCAGGGCCTTGTATATGTTAAAAAGCATTGTCCTACTAAGCTGACCCAAGCCTCTTGTATTAGTTACTTTTCTGTTGCTGTGATAGAAACACTGACCAAAGCAACTTATAGAAGGAAGAATTTATTTGAGCTTACAGTTCCAGGGGAGTTACAGTCCAGCATGGTGGGGAGGCATGGTGGCAGAGGTGACTAGAGGAGGAGCAGAAGCTAAGCTTTCACATCTTCAAGCAGGCACAGGAAGCAAGAGAATGACTTGAAATCCATCAAGGCTTAAGAACTCTCTAAGCCCACTCCCAATGACATGCTTCCTCCAGTGTAGCCATACCTTCTAAGACCTCCCAAAACAGCACCATTTGGGAACAAAATGTCCAAATACTTGGAGCCTATGGGGAGCATTTTCATTGAAACCACCATATCCCTTGAACAACTTTTAATTAGTTAATACTTAAAGTAATGAAATTATTAATGATACTATTTTTATTTTCAGTATAATTGGATTGCTATCTATTAGGCTAGTATTTAATTTCTCTCTTGGTGTACTTATAAAAAATACCCTAACTTTTCCCAAAAACACATTGCATAGTTTAAGGTTTTGCTTGATCATAGCAAATAATAAACATAACAATTGGAATTGCTTTGAAAATGCTTCTCCAGTGAAGGTGGAAAATCAATATGAGTGCAGTGCACTTTAAGGCTTTTATTGTGTTTATTTGTTGATTGATCGTTAAGATTGTAAAACTACGTATATTCATTGAGACAAGTAATTTTACCTAAAAACTTCTATTGACCTTTGGTGTTTGCTATTTAACAGGGACCAACACCTGTATAGCAGTGATCCACTGTATATTCCAGATGACAAGGTGGTTGTTACTGAGACACAAGTTATTCGGGAAACCCTATGGTAAGACTCATTAGCCTGGAGGATTTTACTACTGAAAAGTTATTTTTGTAAAGGGAATGTATTCACGGAATTTCCACATGCAAACTAGAAGCAGGCTGCTGGGGATGAAGTTCACACTTCAGATTTCTCTGAGACTGGGAGATTTTGGCATTTTCTTTTCCGTTTTAAGTAGCTTAGCATTAGACTAGACCGTCATTTTTGAATATCTGAGTTCAAAGCAAGGTTTGTTGCTGACTGCTTTTTCTAAGAAGTGTCTCTGAGAGTTGCCTGTGCAGGAGGTGGGAGTCTAATGCTCATGTAGGGCTGTTCCTGTGGGGACCCTGGGCTGGGGCTTTCTCACCATGAAGCATGGTACTAACATTTTGCCTGTTAGACTGGGATGGGCTCTTTGTATTCTCAGGTACGTGGGGCAGGGACTTCGAATGTTGAGCTTCTCTCTAAGATGATGGTGAAATAACTTGAATCTTAAGTTAACTAGGTGAAGTTTGATAACCTTACATTTTCTTGCTGTCTCGTCTATTGTCTGGCAATTCTGAATGTGCAATAAAATTTTTTTAACCAAGCTAGGTGTGGTGATGCTAGCTTGGAACTTGCTGTATAGACCAGGCTGTCCTCAATCTCACAGAGATTCACCTGCCTCTGTCTCCTGAGTGCTTGGATTAAAGGCTAGCTAATGGCTACAGGGAGACCCTATCTGAAAAAGACAAAAAGAAGTTTCTTAGCCAGACTTTATTCAGTTCACTTTAGTGAATATTTTAGTAGACTTAAAGTACATTCCTCTTTTTTATTTTATTTCAGGTTGCTTTCAGGAGTGAAAAAGCTATTTATATTTCAATTGATAGACGGGAAGGTAACTGTGAGAAACAATATTGTTGTAACTCATTTGACACATGTAAGTTATTTGTGTTACTAAATAGAATTTATAAGTGTTAGCAGTATCATTTAAAATTTTTTTACAATATTAAAATTTTTTAATATAGTGAAAAATCTAAAAAGTAAAATTAAGTTATGCACATTATAGTGCCTAACCAATTCTTTATTTGTGACTCACTTAGTTTTGATTTCATTCTCTTTTATTCTGTACTGAGAAATCTGTATACTATAAAGATTTTGCCTACAGTTTATAAATGTTTTTAAAAGTATAAGCAATAGTTCTATAGTATGTAGAAATTGATGTTCACTGTTTCCTTTGAATATGAACTAAATTCATCATCATTATATTACTTTGTCTTGTACCACACAGTTTAAAACAGTCATAGAAACAATCTTTTACAGTGAGGGGGAAGTGAACTTGAACATTTGCAGAAGGCTGACTTTAAATACTTTCATTTGGCATCTGTCTTAGAACTGTTTGCGATCTGTGCTGGAACAAATTGCAGTGTACGGCCAGGTCGTGTTTCGACTGCAGGAGTTCATTGATGAGGTCATGGGGCACAACTCTGAAAGCCTGTCACCAGGAAACAGTTCTAGGAAGTCGCCTGAAGCTCCTTTTAGAACTTACCAGGCTTTCATGTGGGCCCTTTACAAATATTTCATTAGCTTCAAAGAAGAACTTACAGAAATTGAGAAGTGCATCATCAATAATGGTATGTAGAAGTTTTTTTAATTCATAAGATGTGTAATCCATTTTGAATGTTACTGAAGTTATATATTTATTGATACATGGTTTGAAAATTGCATGGCAGATAAGTAATGCTCATAAATGCATTCATTTTTAAAGTTATTTTAGGGCTAGTGAAATGGCTCAACAGGTAAAGGCACTTGCCACCAAGCCTGACGATTTGTTCTACCCGGCACCCAGCTGGCTCCCACAAGTTGTCCTCTGACTTCTACACACACACTGTGGTGCATACATATCCACCCTCCCCCATACACACATGCACAAATAAATAAATGTAATAAAATTTTAAAATAATTTTTTTTTCAAGTTCTTAAAAATTTCTAAAGATCCCCAAAATACAAAGCAGCTTGCAGTGAAAACTCTTCCTCTTGTCCAGTTCCCCTCCCAGGATAGCCAGGTTCTTGCGCTTCCTCTGGAATGCACACTCTCTTCAGATTGTTTTCTGGTTTGAATATAAACATGTGATAGAGCTTATTTCTTTTTACAGGCTGTTTGGGGCCATATGGTAGCCCAATTCCCCATGAAGGACAGGTGGATTGCTTCCACTCCACTCTTTACCAGCGCAGCTGCAGTGATTACCATTTACACACTACAGTAGTCACATGCATACAGCCTATTTTCTGTAAGGAAGATTTATAAAAATTGAATTGCTGGGTCAAAGACTATGTGGTGATATGTGATTTTGCTAGATTTTTCTACATTGCTCTACAACAAAGTACAAATCAACAAATTTATGCTCTTATTAGCAGGGTCTTGTCATGTGTTACTGAATGTTTTGGTCTTCACCAATATGACAGGTAGAAAAGGATTGACAATGTAGTTTTTAACCCCCTTTTGTCTTCCACTACGGCAGAGTGATAGAAAGAGCTCCCTTTGCCTTTCCTGTTCCTCCTAGCAGTGGAATCTTCCTTAATTATAGTGTAGTGTTAGCTAGGAAACTGACATGACCCAGCAGCACCTTAGCCAGACTGCAGACCCAACATAAGTTTTGCTGGTATTGCATGCTTTGGGTGGGGAGACAGAGCATCTTTGTTCACCACAGGTATGGAAATGTACAATTCCTTTGATGTTTGGGATAAGGAGCTGTGCTGTCACCACTTAGGAACTTGATTGAGCCACCACTTGGTAGCCTCCCTGCCCCCTCACTAAACTAGGAGCCTGTGGTAGGGGAGTTTGCTTAATGTTCTTCTAAGTGAAGTTCTGTACCTTTCTATATATTTAAGAATCACTTACCTTCCTTTTCTGTTAATTTTCAGTTCTTTTATACATCATTTTTCACTTGAATTATCTTTTTCTCTGATTTATGACAGCTTCTTCTTCCTTGAGGAAATTAGCACTTTATGATATGATATGGAAACCTACCTCCATCCGTTTGGCCATTCCTTTCCATCAGTCAAAGATACAGCTTTATTTGGTATTTCTATTACATGTTAGTCAGATTTTTCCCTTGCCATTCATTTTGACTTATGGTTACTTACAGATTCCACAATAACACTTGCAATAGTGGTGGACAAGTTGGCACCTCGATTGGCTCAACTAAAGGTTCTGCACAAAGTGTTTAGTACTGGAGTGGCAGAAGTTCCCCCGGATACTCGGAATGTCGTCCGGGCATCTCACCTGCTTAACACCCTGTACAAGGCCATCCTTGAATATGATAATGTTGGAGAAGCCTCTGAACAAACTGTATGTCGGACTTCTGCCTGATCCACAGTGCATTATGAAAGAGTGGTAGATAGCCTGTCATAATGCTTTGTTAAATGATGCTGAAATAATGCTTCACAGTTATCTTCCAAATTCAAGGCCAACAGCAACTGGCTTCTTACTCCAATGAAGCAAGGAGAAAGCAAGATATGAAAATACCTACCAACTTACCTAGATATTTATAGTAAATGTTTTAACCTAAAAGCACAGGTCTGTGATGAAGTGTCTAAAGTAGTCACATTCATGGAAACAGTGTAATAGACTTCTAGGGATTGGAAGAGGAAGAGGAGAGTTTTCTGAATGTAGCAGCTTCAGTGTTAATGCTGAGCATAATATATTAAAATGGTTATAATGGTGCTAAGTGCATATACTCAGGAGGCTGAGGCAGGAGGCTTGTGAGCTTGAGGCCATCCTGGCTACATGGCAAGATCCTATCAAAGAAGAGGAGCTAAGGTGATACATTTTGGGACACATACAAGTACAAACCAACTAGAGACTCGTTCAAGAAGTGTGTTCTGGGTGTACTCCCAACGTTTAGTGTAACCCTTAATCTTTTCACCAGTTTAATGTTGAAGTCAGTGTATAATAGAGATGGGTTTCTTTCAGTTATGCAGTATTTTTCCTCCTGGAAACCAGAGGAGTATGAAATCATGTTCTCATTCTTTATTACTTATGGCGGGGGGAGGGGGTCGCACATGTGGCATGGCATGCCTGTGGAAGTCAGAGGACAACTTGAGAGAGTCAGTTGTCTCCTTCCCCCATGTAGGTTCCCGGGATCAAACTCAGTTCATCAGGCTTGTTGGCAAGTGTCTACCCACTGAGCCATCTTGCCAGCCCCATTTTCTCATTCTGGATGGACATCTCACTGGTGGCACTGTGTGAACAGGCTGTCCCAGTGCAAAATCTGATTTTCACTCTTAGGAGGCCTCCCATGTGAATGGCAAACAGTACATTCATCTTATATTTAGATGAATTTCTTATAAAGCTCTTACAGTGTATGTTTTAAGGATTTTAATTTGTTTCAAAAAATACATACAATCACTTTTTTAAAGCCATTTGGAAATGTTTAATCTTTACCTTAACCTAAGATAGGAGTTCTGAACCCTAACCATCCAAGCTGTCATCCTTAGGTTTCCCTCCTGTTCTCTCTCTGGGTGGAAACAGTGCGTCCCTACCTGCAGACCGTAGATGAATGGATCGTTCATGGGCACCTATGGGATGGCGCCAGGGAGTTCATCATACAGAGGTAAGCTTTGAATGCAGGAGATGCTGTGTTTTGGCATTATTATTTGATCCCTCGTCAATACTGAATACTTTGCTGAGTTTCAGTGGCGCTGAGAGAGTTCAGATGGCAGAATTGTGTTGCTGCTGTAGCACAGGCATGTTCTGCTGCAGCTTTAAAAGATGTCAGGTCCTGCCGGGCATGGTGGTGCATGCCTTTAAACCCAGCACTGGGGAGGCAGAGGCAGGCAAATCTGTGTAAGTTCAAGGCCAGCGCCTGGTCTACATAGTGAGTTCCAAGCCAGCTGGGGCTACAGAGAGACCCTATCTCAAAAAAAAAAAAAAAAAAAAAAGATGTCAGGTCCCAGCCAGTTAAAAATATCCTTAATTTGAGTTTGATATCAGTTCATGTCTTTTCATAGCAAATTATAAATTGTATATGATTTTTAAATGCAAACTGCTTCCTATGAGAGAATTTAGATGGTATCAGATGGTTCAGATTGTTTCCATTATGTTATCAGTAAGATATGAAAGTAGTATAGGATATGCCTTTATTGCCTTCATTTCTTAAAATAATCTACTTTATCTTAACATAATATTTGATAAAGCATTCCCCTTTAGTCGGTTGATTTTTTTTTTTAACAGACTCATAAACTGCAGTGGGAAACTGTTTGTACAGTTAACTCAGTTTTCAGTTACATAACCTGTTAAGATAGGTGGAGTCTATTGATAGTTTGGATAACTATCCATTGAACTCCCTCAGGAAAGGGAACCCTAAGTCCTTAGAGCCTAGAAAGGTAACGTGCTCAGATGGATGGGCTGGCCTTCCATCAGCGGAATCTTAAATGTGTCACAGGGTTCTCTGTAATCAACCTTACATGAAAGTTTGTGAAAATGTGATAATGACTATTCTAAAGTGATGGGTAGCCTCTTAATCTATGAGAGACTCAGAGGTAGAGCATTTGCTTAGTTGTCACAAGGCACTGTGTTCAGTTTCTTGCATGAAAAAAGGAAAAAAATGGAATGAGTAGATGACTCCCTGGGTAAAGCACTTGCTGTGCAATCATGAAGACCTGAGTTCAAATCCTCAGGACCCACATACAGCCAGGCACAGTAACCCATGTAGCATCCCTACAACAGGATGGGAGGTAAAGACAGGAGAATCCACAGAAGCTCACTGGCCAGCCAGCCTGGGATAGAACAGGCAACAGCAAACAACAGAGATCCTGCCTCAAAGAAGGTGGAAGGCAAAGACCAACGTACCTGAGCTTGTCCTCAGACCTCCAGACATGTGTGCCTATACTCACACAAATAAATGCATAAATGCACATACACATTATATAAACACACATTTTATACATAAAGATTTGAAAAAATAAAAATGGGGGAGAGGGTGGCTAGGGCAAAGCACTTGTCTGCATACACAGTGCCCTGGGTTCAGGCCCCAGCACTGAGTTAAAAAAGAAGACAAAGAAGAATCTTTGTGGAGGAAAAGAAGTAGAAAGTACTTTTTTCTACAGGATGTGGTAAAAGTGGGCAAACTTACCTTCTGTTTCTAAAGAGACCTGAAGTAGTCATATTTTCATTCCAATTCAGGAAAGCATTTCCACTTACATTTTGCCTCTACCATTCAAGTGTTTATTTTTCTTTGTTAAACTGAAGTTAGGTGAAAACTGCCCTGTTTGGCCTGAAAATCCTTTTACTAAAATTGATATCACTATACTTTTGAATACTACATATTTTGAAACAACTTGCCTAAGCTAAAATAACGTACACTGTTGTTTTAAAGGAACATAAATTAACACTTAAAATTCTTTTGAATCTCCATAGGAACAAAAATGTTCCAGTAAATCACAGAGACTTCTGGTATGCAACTTACACATTGTATAGCGTATCAGAAAAGACAGAAAATGAAGAAAAAATGAGTGACAATGCCAGCGCCAGCTCTGGCAGTGACCAGGGTCCATCCAGTCGGCAGCACACCATGGTGTCCTTCCTCAAGCCTGTGCTGAAGCAGATCATTATGGCTGGCAAGTCTATGCAGCTGCTGAAGAACCTGCGCTGTGCGGAGAGCTCGGCCTGTCAGGCGGCAGCCAGAGGTAGCCTGCAAGTCTTCCTGGACCTGGGTGTGGCTCTTCCTTCACCTTTGTCATCCTCACATGCCTAATTAGTGTGTACTGTCAAAGTGATCAAAGCCTTTTCTGTCCCTGGAAATAGCCATGATTTTAAATAACATTTTCGTCCTTTTCTTTTTTGTCTTTTTGAGACAGGATATCACTATAGCCCTAGCTGATCCGAAACTCACAATGACCCACCTGCCTCTGCCTCCCAAGTGCTATAATTAAAGGCGTACACTACCAGGCCCAGCTGACTTTTTATAACATTTTTATATATTATTTGTATTATTTGGAATTTTTATTCATGCATACAATATATTTTTTTCTTTTTTTTCTTTTTTTTTGTCTTTTTGAGACAGAGTCTCCCTGTAGCCCCAGCTGTCCTGGAACTCAGGCTGGCCTTGAACTAACAGAGATCCGGCTTCCTCTGCCTCCTGAGTGCTGACACTAAAGGCGTGCACCACCACGCCTGGCTGCATACAATATATTTTTGATCATATCCACCCTCAACTTTATGCCCTCTTACCATTATGTTTTTATGACCCACTGTTGATGTCTTTTCCTCCAGCAGCCTATATACCACCTTCCATTTTGTAAATGCTAGCCAGCAGGGAGAGTTTCCTGGCCAATTCAAGATTGATTTCTCTATGTCCTGCAACCAGAGTGTGTGGTGTCTTCAGCAGTAGGGTCATAAAGACAACCCAGGTCCTCTGGAAGAGCAGTCAGTGCTCTTAACTGTTGAGCCATCTTTCCAGCCCCTTAACTCTTCTTTTAAAACTGCACCTGAGGGTCTGGATAGATGGCTCACCGTACTATTCTTAATTGAAAATCTAGTCATCTTTGGAAGCTTATAGTGCTGTTTAGAAAGTAACTGATAAATTCCACGTGGTTTTTTTTATTATTTTTATTTTATGTATATGAGTATATTGCCTACATATATGTAAGTGCACCTGTGGCATGCAGTGCCCAGAGATCAGAAGAGGGCATCAGATCCCCTAGAACTGGAGTTAAGACAGTTGTTAGCCACCATGTGGGTGCTGGGAATCAAACCTGGGTCCTCTATAAGAGCAATCAGTGCTCTTAACCACTGAACCATCTCTCCAGCCCCTACATGTGTTTTTTTGTCACTCTTAATCCCTTAGAACTGGTCCTCTGAAAATAATCCTCTGGCATTTCTTGGTGTAGTACACTGTTCAGCTTTTGAGGACCTAGACCCTGGCCAGTTTGAATTTGCTGATAAGAAGTTCAGACAACATTCAGAGGTTTTGAGAAAATCTTTGGGTTTTTTTGTTTTGGGGTTTTTTGTTTTGTTTTGTTTTGTTTTTTGTTTGTTTGTTTTTTGCCTGCTTTGGATCCAATTTAAGTAATTTATTTAAGTTTAATTAATTTATTTAAGTTTACTAGTAAACTTGGATGAGTATTAACAGGGCCAGTGTTGGCAGTGTCTTTTCCAATGCAGTTGACTCTGTGAGTCTCCTGTGGTCTTCACAATATTATAGTAACTCATTTAGATATCCTGTCCAGAATAAAAGTGGCTTATATAGTATGATATTTAATTAGGAACATTTCATTTAACTGAGGATATCATATGAGCTTACTGTACTGTAAAGGTAAAATTAAAACAACAAAAGCAGGGCTGGGCGTGGTGGCGCATGCCTTTAATCCCAGTACTAGGGAGGCAGGGGCAGTCGGATCTTTGTGAATTCAAGACCAACCTCGTCTACTTAGTGAGTTCCAGGCCAGCTGGGGCTACAGGGAGACCCTGTCTGAAAAAGAAAAAAAAAAAACGGGAATAGGCCTTCATAGATAAAGGAAAAATATCAGGCTCTGTGCAGACAAAATTTTTAAGATTTATTTTTATTTATGTGTATGTGTATATGTCTGTATGAGTGTACATTATGTGTGGTTCCTGAGGAGCCAGAAAGGACATTAGACTTCCTGGAGCTAGAGTTACAAGCAGATATGAGCCACTGACTTTAGGTCCTATGGAAGAGCAGCAGGCGATCTAAACTCCTAAGCCCCCTCTCCAGCCCCATGAAATTTATTTCTAATTGGGAGATCAAAACTCGTCCTCCATATTTTTGTTTCAGATGCAGAAAGAAAAAGCTTATATACCCTCTTTCTGGAATCCATACAGTTGCGTCTTCAGCATGGAGAAGATTCCACTCCACAGGTCCTCACTGAGCAGCAGGCAACAAAGGAGAACCTAATTAAGATGCAGTCCATTGCAGAAAGGCATCTGGAGCTAGATGACATTCATGACCCACTGCTGGCCATCAACTTTGCAAGGTGAGAATAGAGAAAATCTGTGCCATAGTTTATAGTTGTTTCTGTCAGGTAGGGTTTTCCGCCTTAAAACTGAAATTCCTATCCTTTCTAATGGAGGAAGTATAAGAGGCTGTGTTCACCTATTTCAAATGTGTCATTTTGTTCCCTCATTTATGAAAGTATAAAGAACTGGCCCAGCTAGCCTCTCTGTACACCCCACCCCCACCCCTAAGAGTGTTGCTCCTCACTCAGAATGTACTTCTGAAAGGCTGGACAGGTGCAGGACCCATATTAACTCAGGGTATCCCCATGTGTAACATGGGTATTGGGCTTAGGATGCTTTCAGGCACTTAAACACAGTGGAAGCTATTAATTCCCACTTGGCGCCATGCTGTTGGACAACCAGCATGCACTATGTGTAGCACTGATGGAAGAAGTGACTGCAGTACCTGACCCTAAAGGCAGCAACAATGTAGAAAGGATGTTCTGGGGAGAAGGGTTTCTTCCTGTAATAATTGGTAAGCTGAAGACTGGAGGTAAAAGTGAAACTCTGGATTGTTAGAATTCTATCAACAGCAGCTCATAAAATGAACACTCACATTTTAATATTGAAGGTTGTATTTGGAGCAGAGCGACTTTCATGAGAAGTTTGCTGGTGGTGATGTATGCGTGGATAGATCCTCAGAATCTGTGACATGCCAGACTTTTGAATTAACACTGAGGTCTTGCCTCTATCCTCATATTGATAAGCAGTATCTACATTGCTGTGGAAATCTCATGCAGACCTTAAAAAAAGATTACAGGTAAATAGGAGTATTTAGCTTCAAAAGTAATCTGTAGTTGACGATTGTACTTTGATAGCAGTTGAGATTTTTCTTTTTTAGTTTTGTGGGTTTTGGTTTGTGGGTTTTGATGCTGGGATAAAAATCTGTATTTCAAAGAATGGATGTGTAATAAACAGTCTTGAAAACATCACTTAATCATCAGGATTTAACTATGTTGTAAACTGATTATTTCTGAGAACCTATCTCAAAAGAAAAAGAGAAGTATTCAAAACAGGTGCAGAAACTGTCCTCACAGAGTGTGCTGTCAAGCATGGAGTAATGGCCAGTTCTTTAAATTCTGCCATATCCATATTCCTGTGTAGTTTTCACAAAGTTCATAGAAATTAGCTTAACTAAAGCTTAACAAGCAGGATATATAATGTGGTAGGATAAGGCTGGAATGAAATACTCCAAATATTAGCTAAGTGAAAATTTACTTTGGATGATGAAATTTTAATTACTTTTGGGGATTTGCCAAGTGTCTTTTGAGGGCAGTTGACTGTATGTATGGCATGTGTTCGCCTGTCTGACAGACTGTCGGTGTACACACACCCAGCACCATCCCAGAAGCCCACAGTAGGGCTGAAAGTACATTCTGCTGTTTGTCTCCTCTCTTCTTGAGGTTGGTGGAATACTTGCAGGCCATGAGGAACTTTTTCTTGATGGAAGGTGGAGATACCATGTATGACTTCTACACATCAATTTTTGATAAAATAAGAGAAAAGGAAACCTGGCAGAATGTGTCATTTCTGAATGTCCAGCTCCAAGAAGCAGTAGGACAGCGCTACCCTGAAGACAGTTCACGGTAACGTGTGGACGCGCCTTCCCCTTTAAAAACTATAAAGTAAACAGTATGCCAAGAGTTCATCTATGAGTTTTTGCATATTGTGCTAAGTATTCAGATCACATGCATATGAGGGATATTCAAACTACACCACATATGTGGTTTTGTTTTTTGTTGGGGTTTTTGATTTTTGTTTTTTGGTTTTTTTTTTTTCCTGTCTTTTTGAGACACAGTCTCCCTGTAGCCCCAGCTGACCTGGAACTCACTACGTAGACCAGGCTGGTGTCAAACTCACAGAGATCTGCCTGCCTCTGCCTACCAAGTGCCACATATATGATTTTATCCTCACATAAGCCCTATGAGTTTTACTAGTTATTTTGCAAATTAGAAAATCAAGGCTGAGACATGGTAGTAGTGCCATGTGCCTGTAGTACCAGGTAGTTAAGGGTTAAGACAAGATCATTTGATCCTGGAGTTTGAGGCCAGCCTAGACCTCAGGACAAGATATAAAGAAAAGGTAGGGAGATGGCTCAGTAGATAAAGCAGTTGCCCCACAGCATGACCATGATAGTTCAGATCCTCCTCCAGGTACAATGAGAGACTGCCTCGGTGAATGAAGTACAGAGTGACTAACCTCTGGCCTCCACAACCTCTGACCGCCACATGCACATACATACACATTGTACACACCACACGTACCTACACACACACACAAAGAAAGAAAGGGAGGAAGGATGGATTAAACTGGTAGCTGATATGGAAGGGTAGGCCTACTAAGAGATGACTGCGTGGGACTGCCCAGCTTGTCGGGTCTGCTGGCCTCCCTCTTGTTTCTTGTCTCTTAGTTCCTAAACATCACTGTTGTTAACCTTGGCTGTCTTGCCTCTGTGAAGCTATCCGTAACCTCTCTGGTTGCCTCTGCCCTCCTGACTGGCTCAGCCTCACTCCCTTCCTCCACTAGGGACTTGACCCTCACATAGTGACATTCCTCACTCATGTTCAGCCCCTTCTGTGTGCCTCACCAGGTAGAAAAGGAGCCTTTTACTGTCAGGCTTTGTTTTTCCAGCCTCATATCTTACACACTTACATGCCGTTTTCTCTCTTCTGCACTTCACATTTCAGGTATTTGGAAATACTTCCAGCTTCCCCACATGCTGGTCTCCCCACCCCACCCCCAGCCCCCTTCAGTGATGTGCTTTCCCACTCATGGCCTGTCTGCTCACTGGTGCAGCTTCTGTCTTCTGTGCCATGAAAGCAGCTCTATAGCTCCATGCTGGAGTGAGGAGAATCAGCTTTCTGTCATCTGCCCAGTACAACACCTGACAAAGTATTTGTAGGTGCATCTAAGCACTTGGCCGATTAACACCATGTCTAGTGCCTGTGCCTTGGAATGAGTTGGCTAGTTCATAATCACATACTGCCCTTACCTCTTACTTAACCTGGATTGAAGGTTAACTCCTCACTTTAAATCTTCCAGAATGTGCATCCGGGTATCATCCTCTAGTATCTCTAAGTGTGGAGTGATCACTGACAATACCATTCTGTACATAACATAAAAAAGAAATGGCACCTGAATAGGGCCTGGCATATGGACATTTCCATGTTCTGTGTTGCTTGCTTTCTTGTGAGGGTCAGAGTCAGGCCCATCAAGAGTGCATAGATAGAGCAGGACACAGCAACTTGAAGCAAAAACAGCCCATTGTGCACAGGCTATGGAGCTGCCATGCGTGCTGCCTGGCTCATGGAGGCCGCTCTTCTAGTCCCCACCCTGCACTTGAACTTGGGGCTCAGTCTTTCTAGCCTGACTTTGACTAAAATCAAGCTCTCATTCTAGTCTCCAAGTTTGTCTTTTATTGTAATTAACTTACTAGCATTGTTAAGTATCTATGGCAAAACCCATTATTTAAAATTTTTTAATTGGCTGTTGGGACATACACACTTGTAATCCCAGCACTACAAAAGAAGAGGCATGAGGATTGAAGTTTGAAGTCAGCCTACAGTACAGTGAGACTATTTCAAAAACAAAACAAAACCCAGGTAGTACAGATCTATAAGCCCAGCACTTGGGAGACTGAGGCAGGAGGGTCCCTTTGAGTTCAACATCAGCTATGTGCTGAGACCCTGTCTCAAGGAGGTGGTCGGGGTGAGGAAAGCTGGTTGTGGTGATTCACATCTGTAATCCCAGCTCTCAAAATCCTGAGGCAAGAGGATTGCCATGCATTTGAAGCAAGCCTGGACTCCAGAGCAAGACTATGTCTCCAAAACAATAAATAATAAAAAATAACTGCCAGTCTTATTTCTGAAACAAAGTTCATGTTCTGAGATATACTAAAAACATGAATTTATTAGCATGTTTATATTTTATGAAATGTATGATTCTTTGAAAGGTTATGGGGGTTTTATGGTGCTTGGGATAAACTCAGGACTTTATTAGGCAAGCATTATATGACTAAGGTATATTCCCCACCCATGAATTGTTTTGTTTTTATGTTTGTGTAATACTGTCACAAATTAAAACTGAGGCTTCTTTATTTAGTTTATCTATATCTTTTGAAAATGTTGACACAACCAAGAAGAAACTACCTGTTCATACCTTAGATGGTCTGACCCTAAGCTACAAGGTAAACTCTAGTGTTTATTAATTTTTTTTCCTCTGGTATTTCTTTTATGAAATGTTTCCTATTAAAACTGGTATGTGAAATAATACTTTACTTTTTATCCTACCTTATTATTTTTGTTTTCATAGGTCCCATGGCCTGTGGACATTGTTATAAGTTTGGAATGTCAAAAAATATATAATCAAGTATTCCTTCTCCTATTGCAAATAAAATGGGCAAAATATAGTCTGGATGTTCTGCTGTTTGGTGGTAAGATTTATTTTCAATAAGATGATTGTAATTTGATGCTTTTTTCAAGGGGGGGGGTGAATCATATGTAAACAAATGCCAAATAGGCTGGTATGTCTGGTAGCAGTTTTACAAACCTCCACTTTAAGAAGTGTGGAGCTAACCAGATGTGGTGGTGCATGCCTTTAATCCCAGCACTGGGGAGGCAGAAGCAGGCAGATCTCTGTAAGTTCGAGACCATCCTGGTCTGCATAGCTAGTTCCAGGCCAGTTGGGGCTACAGAGAGACCTTGTCTCAAAAAAAAAAAAAAAAGAAAAGAAAATGCACACACACCATTTACAGACACACATACATATAAATAAAAATATTTTTTTCATTCTTCAAATATTTATTGAGAACTTATGTTTTTTTATATATATTTGTTATTAAATTTTTTAGCTTTTCATAGAATACATCTTAATCATATTTAGAACCCCCATCTTCAACCCCCTCAAGCCCTCACCAGATTTCATGCATTCTGTCATATATGTTAAAGCCTATCTAAAAATATTTTTTTTTAAAGAATGAAGTATTGAGCCAGGCGTGGTAGTGCACTCCTGTAGTCCCAGCACTTGGGAGGCAGAAGCAGGCGGATCTCTCTGAGTTCAAGGCCAGCCTGGTCTACATAGTGAGTTCTAGGACAGCTGGGGCTACAGGGAGACCCTGTCTCAAAAAGACCAAAAAAAAAAAAAAAAAAAGTATCAGAAACTCATAGAGTTGGTCTTAAATGTAATGATTTATTAGGCATTTAGTGTAAATATTCTTGAGATACACAAAAAGAATCTAATGAAAGGTTAATGGGATTTTTTACATTTCATGACAGTAATAACAGAAGTAACACAAAAGAGCTTTATGTATTATCTGTCCTCCTGCCTATGCCTCCTCAGTGCTGGGATTATAGATGTGTGTCACCATAGCTGGTTATGCAGTGCTGGGGGAGTGAACCCAGGGACCTAAGTATGCTAAGCAAACACTCTTCCAACTGAGCCATATCACCAGCCTCAGGGAACTTGTGACAGTTCATCTTCCCAAGGCTTGCCCTTGGTAGGGTACCCTCAGCCCTGCTGCTGCCTTATCCCTCATCTCCCTATATAGTAGTCCAGTCAGTCAGGTTTCGGTTGATTCCCTTTCTGCCCGTTTTGCTCTTTCCATCTTTACAGAACTGGCAAATGCTGCTGAAAGACCCCAACTAAAAGAACAAAACACACTTGCCCAATTTGGACCACCACAAGAATCCATAAGACAGCAGATCCATCGCATGTTCCTCCTAAGAGTGAAGCTCATGCATTTTGTGAACAGCTTACACAACTATATCATGACCAGGGTTGGTATTTGTCTCCTCAGTCTGTTGTCTTATGTAGGCAGTGGTTCAAGAAGTCATCCATCATGTAATAATAAATACAAGGAGCCATGCAATACTAACAAATTGTGAAAAATGAGGCATATAAATAACTTGACCATAAAATAACATGGCAGTGGAAGGTAATAGTTTTTAAATAAACATACCAGCATGAGTGTGCAGAGACTTCAGTCCTGCCTGTCCCACCACTGGGGTGGGACACCAAAGTTCCCGTTTTGGAATGGGAAATGAACTTTGTTCAGTAGCTCACTGAATTTCATCACTCATGATATGTCACTAGAAAATGGCTTTGGTATTTAGCGGTATGCCAAATTCTTAGGAAGAGTGATACATAAGAAAGATGGTGCAACCGGATTATATACTTACTAAGTATATACTTATAATAATATGCTTTTATAATATATACTTTTTCTTAAAAAGTAATGGGCTGGGGCTGGAGAGATGGCTCAGTGGTTAAGAGCACTGCCTGCTCTTGCAGAGGACCCAGGTTCAATTCCCAGCACCCACATGGTGGCTACGAACCATCCTTAACTCCAGCTCCAGGGGAATCAGAAGCTCTCTTCTGACCTCCGTGGCACTGCACGACACAGGTGCACTTACATACATGTAGGCAATACACTCATACACATAAAATAAAAATAAAATATTTTTTTTAAAGAGAAGAGTTAAGATATCTGAGTTATAACAGTATTACGAGGGCAATCCTCATTTGATGTTTGAAATGCACTTTTAAAAAAAGAAAGAGCCGGGCCAGGCAGGGTGGCGCACATCTTTAATCTCAGCACTTGGGAGGCAGAGGCAGGCAGATCTTTGTGAGTTCAAGGCCAGCCTGGTCTACATAGTGAGTTCCAGGACAGCTGGGGCTACAAGGAGACCCTGTGTCAAAAAAGACAAAAAGGAAAGAAAGAGTCCTTTCATTATACCCCTGCTGGTATGTAAACTCTTAAAACTCCTGTGGTGAAGTGACCTCTGTAGCCATGCTTACAGTGTGAAGAATGTGGCTGCACTTCTCTGTTTACATAATTGCAGTGCCAATAGGCCTTCATGGAGCCAGCTATAAGCCCTAATTAGGAAAAGTAATAAACAGGAGCTTAATTTTTTACTTTTCTATTTCAGGTACAGTTAGGTTCTTTTTAGGCAAAGACCAATACTGTATTGTAAACTAAAACATAAATTTATTGAAATTATTTTTGTTACAAAAGTGATACATGGGCTAGACAGATGACTCAAGGGTAAAGAACACTGCTTTTGCAGAGGACCCAGATTCAGTTCCCAGCATCCACATCAGGCTGCTCACAACTGCCTGTAACTACAGTTCCAGGGGATCTGACACCCTCCTCTGGTCTCTGCAGATACTGCACATATGTGGTATACATGCACACAGGCAAAATATTCCAACACAAAACTAAATCTTGGGGCTGGAGAGATGGATCAGCGGTTAAGAACACTGGTTAAGCCGGGCATGGTGGTGCATACCTGTAGTCCCAGCACTTGGGAGGCAGAGGCAGGCGGATCTCTGTGACTTCAGGGCCAGCCGGGCTCTACATGGTAAGTTCCAGGACAGCTGGGGCTTACAGGCAGACCCTGCTTCAAAAAGACCAAAAAAAAAGAATACTGGTTGTTCTTGCAGAAGACCCAGGTATGACTCCCAGCACCCACATGGTAGCTAACAACTGTCCGTAACTCCAATCCCAGGGGATCCTACAGCCTCTTCTGACCTCCGTGGGCATTGCGTGACACAAATGCACTTACCTACATGCAGGCAATACACGCATACACATAAAATTAAAAAATAATAATAAATTTTTTTTTAAGTTTAAAAGAACAATCTTTTTTTAAATGTTTTATAAAAAGCAAACAATATTTTTACATATTTTTTCAGTGCATTTTCTTTCTGGTTTGATGAAAATTTGTCCCTTTTCTCCCAAAAATCTGTTATTCTAAAGATAGGCATTCATGTAGTGAGCAAGTGGCTGTACCAAGGACTGGCCCTGCCATGGTGCAAGGCTCAGAAAAACAAAGTATCCCATTAGCTTTTAGGTTGTTTTGGTTTTGTTTCTTTTTGTTTAATGTATATGAGTGTTTGTCTGCATTTATGTAAGTGCACTCTTGTGAAATGCCTATGGTGGTCAGAAGAGTTCATTGAACCCCCTGGAACTGGAGTTAAGGAAGGTTGTTAGCTGCCATTTGGGTGCTGGGAACTAAAGCTGGGTCCTCTGCAAGAGCAGCCAGTGCTCTCACCCACTGCCATCTCTCCAGCCCTCCAATTAGCTTTTAAAGGAAATTATGAATGGAGAGTGTAGCTTAGTGGTAGGATGCTTTTTTAGCATGCATGAAGCCCTGGGTTCTATTTCACAACACTGAGTGAGCGAGAAGGAAGGAGAGGGAGCAGACTGGCGAGATGGCTTAGTTGGTAAATAGGTGAGTTTAGATCCCCAGCACCCACTCAGAAAACCAGGTATGGTAGCACACATTCTGGGAGGGAGGCAGAGACGGGGCATCCTTAGGGCTTACTGGCCAGCCATCTGGCTGAATAGATGGGAGCTGATTAAGCTTTTTGTCTTTGTTATTCAAGATTCTTCACAGTACAGGACTGGAGTTTCAGCATCAAGTTGAGGAAGCAAAAGATTTAGATCAGTTGATTAAAATTCACTACAGGTATTTGTCAACCATCCATGATCGGTGCCTGCTGAGGGAAAAGGTACGTAAGGTACTGGTGCTAGGAAAGGGAATCTGGGAGGTGGGAATGTCCTTCTCTGTGGAATTTTGAATTATAAAGCTACTGTCCCACAGAATCTTCTTTAGGGAGGGACCAGGTTAGATGGGGTTACAGATGTGTGCCCCACTGTTAGAAATTGCATCTCAGGGGCTGGAGAGATGGCTCAGCAGTTGAGAGCGCTGACTGTTCTTGCAGAGGACCCGGGTTTGATTCCCAGCACCCACATGGCGGCTACGGACCATACTTCCTCCCAAGCCCATGTTACCCCTGAGGAACAGATCCTCAAATGACCTTAAGTATAAAAATAAATTGATTTATTTGGACCAACTGCATTATCTTAAACTCCCAAAAGGAAAGTATAACCAAAGAGTAAAGTCATGAGTATATTTCTTTAAGAGTTCAAGTGATTACACTTCCTAGACATTAGGCTTAAGTCTATATAAAAAGTTATTTAGGGGCCGGGTGTGGTGGCACCCGCCTTTAATCCCAGCACTTGGGAGGCAGAGGCAGGCGGATCTCTCTGAGTTCAAAGCCAGCCTGGTCTACATAGTGAGTTCCAGGACAGCTGGGGCTACAGGGAGACCCTGCTTCAAAAAGACCAAAAAAAAGAAAGAAAGAAAGAAATTGCATCTCAGAAAAACATGAGAACTGTACAGAACTCACGTTCACTTGGAAACTTAGGTCTGCAGTTACACAATGAAAGTGCGCCAGCTCAGTGTGAGTATGTGGGACTGAACAGTTTTACAACCCAGATCCACTGGGGAATCCAAATGGCATTCCAGAACAGGAGATGCCCTGTACTGCTAACCCTTTGTATGCTGTACACAGTAAGTTCAGGGTTCCATCCCTTGCAGGCCTAGTTCAGAGCTTAGCACCCTTCCTTGTACATAGGAGACCCTGTACTTTCTCTGTGACTTAATAAAATTAGCTGAGAGTATTGGTGTCATTGTTCAAACAGTTCCAAAGCCCATGTTTTGTCTGTGACATTGATCTCCAGGTCAGCTTTGTGAAAGAAGCCATCATGAAGGTGTTGAACTTGGCACTCATGTTTGCGGAAGGTTGGCAGGCAGGCCTAGGGGCTTGGCAGTAAGTATGTGCTTTGTGATAATCTGCATCATGACCTTCAGCTTCCCTTCTAAGTAGAGAGGAGAGGCCTTCGCACTGTAACTAAGAAGAATTTAACATTTTAATTTGGAGTATAGTCCCATGGCTTGCCTAGCATACATGAAACCTGGGGTTCAATCTCGTGTACTGCCAATAAATAGAATTTGTTCAACTAAACTAGGCAGCATCAAAAATTGTGTAATTCACTAATAAGAGGCAAAATAGTAGGAAAAATCTGAGGTCACTTACTTAGGACAAGCAGACATTCATGGGTTATATTCATGGTTCAGTTTTTATCATAGATACCTTCAAACATCGGAGAAGTAGAAAGAACAATAACAAACCTACGTCCCCCTGGCTCAGCACTTTCCTGAAGTGACCAGGGTACCTCACCCATTTGCTGAAACAGACGAACACTATGCTGCAAATCTACTGGTATAATAATGAAGCATGATGAACATTAGGGGTATCTGTCCAAAGTTCTATGTTATATAAGCTCTAAAGACACTGTACTTTACTTTCAGAATGTTTTTCACTTGTCCATGGAAAGGCAGGTGATTTAAAGTCAGTGGACAGTAAAGGGCCCAGAAGCTTTTTTCCCATCAAGCAGGACCATTATCTCCTGTTCCATTTTGTTTCTGTGCTGGGGATTGAACTCAGAGCCTTACATGTGCTATGTAAATGCTGTACCACTGAGCTACACTACCAGTCCAGCCATCCGCTAATATTAACTTGAATATACGATACGGTTCAATACTCAGTCCCTGTCTTGTTTATGAATTATATGCAATGATAATTTACTTCTCTAAAATACAAGTTTATGCCTGGTTGACCAGGAGTTTTATGTGTGTGCCCATGTCTCTGTGAGTGTACATTCACACATGTGAGGATACATGTACTTTTGTGTGCTTATAGAGGCCAGAAGAGGGTGTTAGATGTCCTGTATCACTCTTTACCTGTTCCTCTGAGGCTGGGTCTCTTCATGAACCAGGGACTCAACCAGTAAGCCCCAGCAATCTTGTCTTCGCCCTCCTCAAAACTGTTGTTTCAATTGTGCACTGGGCACCCATCTTATCACATGAGTTCTGGGATCCAAATTCTTACCCTCGGGGTTGCACAGCAAACACACTTAACAGCTGAACCACCTCTCCAGACTCTTGATTGGGTTTTTATTACAAAGCTTGTGTGTAGTCCATATTGGTAAAGAGGGGAGAGTTCACTATAGTGCTGTTGGCATTCAAAAATCTTAGCCTATCACTTTTTTTGAAGGAAGAAATTAAAACAGTATGGAAATTCATAATTGTAGATCTGGGAATAGAAGCCTTGGGCTGGTGAGATGGCTCAGCAGGTAAAGGCACTGGCCAGGTAAGCCTGAAAACCTGCATTCAATTCTCAGAACCCACATAATGGTGGAAAGAGAAAACATTTCACAAAGTAGCCCTCCAACATCTACACGTGGTACACACACCCGCCCCCCACTACCACACACAGACACACACATATTTGAATAGTGAGACCCTGTCTGTAAAAAATAATGCAAGTTAATGCAAAACAGGGTATGTAATTAATGATCTTTAGCCTTGGGATTTTAGAAATTACTTCAGTGACATTTTTGTAGATTATTGCTTTCTACACGCTTAACATAAATTGAAATTTTCTTTCTTAGAATGGAATCTATAGAGAAAATGGAATCTGATTTTAAAAACTGCCACATGTTTCTGGTTACCATTTTAAATAAAGCTGTCTGCAGAGGATCTTTTCCACACTGTGAGTATATCATGTTGCAGGGCCACCACTCATTTCCTGAAACTGCATCTGTATGTCATTATTACTGAGCACGTGAAGAATTTTTCACATTTCAAAACTGGCAAGGCCCTTAGCCATGCTTTGAATTGGTTTTTCAGATTTATAGTGGGGTGGGTAAATATTAAATGTCTTGCTTTCTAGGATGCCATTCTACTAGTAGATCTGAGCATCTTGCACAGTAACTCTTCATTATCCTGTGTAACTTTTGTAACTATTCCTTTCTAAAGTCTATGAGTTTTGCCAGGCATGGTGGCACCTTTAGTGTCAGCACTTGGGAGGCAGAGGCAGGTGGATCCTCCGTGAGTTTGAGGCCAGCCTGGTCTACATAGTGAGTTCCAGGCCAGCTGGGGCTACAGGGAGAACCTGTCTCAAAAATACAATCAATCAATCAATAAATAAATAAATAAATTTTAAAAATAAAATATATACATTTTTAGCAATTTCATGACTTCCAAGGCTACCTCTCAGGAGGAAATGTGGATCTTTAGAGTTCAAAACACAGGGCTTGAAGTAGATAAGAAAGGTTTGGGGATGAACTTAAGGAAAAGAAAGTTTTTAGTCAGTGGGAACAGAACTAAGTATCTCTGCTTCCTTTGGGGGGCGGTAAAGAATGTATATATAGTGTTAATCTCCATTTTTCCATACTCTGTAATACACTTAGAAAGAGTAGCCAGATAGTGAAACAACACTGTTTTATCCTATATAAGAGGTAGATTTGATGCCTTTGTCCAGGTTGGCACTGGTCAGGGCTGTGCAAGCAGATGCCAGCCTTAAATTGGAGTGTGGCACTGTGTTATGAGCTCTAGGTTTAAGCCATAAAGAACAAATGTTCTTGCAGAAGACCTGGGTTCAAATCCCAGTACCTACATGGCAGCTGACAATTGTCTGTAACTCCAGTTCTATGGGATCCAGCATTCTTCTTCTATCCTCTGTGGGCATTGCACAAGATGGGTGCACTTACACACATGCAGGCATAACACTCATACACATAAAATAAAAATAAAGAAAAAAAAATTTTAATGTCATATCAACCTTTTTTTATTTACCTTTAACAAGTGAACTTTGTTACATATTCAGACTATTGGTATTTTAGTTAAAAATAGAATATCTTTAAATTTTGAATTTTCTACAGCCTTAGTCAAACATATAAACCTATGTTTTAACCTGACCTTTTTCTTCCCACAGTGGAATCTCTAGCACTGTCACTTATGGCTGGCATGGAACAAAGTTAAATTTCTTTAATAACAAGTACTTCGACTCCACCTTCAAATGCGTACATTTTCACCACTTGCAGCTGTAAACTGTTCTCAGTCTAGACAAATGGATTGTATTAAAGAATGTATAGAGTTATATGTGTAAAGTTGTGTATATAATTGCAAGGTGTATATAGGTATTATATATGTAGATTGTTTACTCGATAAGGATTTACACTTGTAAATGTGAAATGTAATTATTTTTAGTTAATGATAATATAAATATTAAAAATAAGTTAATGCTTTTCTTTTATTGTTGTTTGCTTATTTATATTGGGTGTCCCTATGCAGTCCAGGCTGGCATTACACCCATGATCCTCCAGCCTCAGCCTCCAGGTGTGCACCACCCTGCCCAGCACATAACTCTGTGCTCTTACAACTCATATTCTTTTGCTGATGCCATAATTTGATCACATGAGGTTTTAAAATAGAACTTTACATTTCCTCTTCCCCAAAAGTTGCTTAAATTTGACTATCCTAGAAGCATTTAAATTTTTATGTGCATAGGAAGTTCTAAAAGGGAGAATGCCAACCAGTATCAATGCATGAAGCCAACTGTACTTAGGGCCAACTGTTGGTATGTACTGTTGTTTGGCATATTTTATCTAGCCAGTTAGATCTCAAATGAAATTATGTATACCATTCAGCTTTTCCACATTTTCTTTATATATTATGTGTGTGTTACTCAGTGGACACTGTATAAGAATAGTAAGCACAGGGACTAGAGAGATGGCTCAGCAGTTAAGAGCACTGACTGCTCTTGCAGAGGACCAAGTTCGATTTCAGCACCCACATGGTGACTAACAGCAGTCTAACTACAGAGGATCTGATACCCTCTCTGACTTCCACAGGCACTGCACAACACAGGTGTACGTATATGCATGCAAGCAATACAGTCATCACATAAAATAAGAACAATAAATTATTTTAAAAATAAAAGAATGACTGGGCGCGGTGGTGCACGCCTTTAATCCCAGCACTCAGGAGGCAGAGGCAGGCAGATCTCTGTGAGTTCAAGGACAGCCTGGGCTACATAGTGAGTTCTTTTTAGTAGGGCCCCTTCTGGCCTAAAACTCAGTATATAGCTGAGGATGACTTGAACTTCTGATCCTCCCACCTCTCCTGGGTTCTGGGATTATAGGCATGTACCACAGGCCCAGTACATGCAGTGCTGGGGATCAAACCCAGGGCCTTGTTCAAGCCAGGCAGGCACTCTACTAACTGAGCTTCATCCTGCAGTCCTCCAACAAAATTTGTACTTTCCTCTGTGACTAGTTACCTAGTCTATAACACTGTCTGCATTGGTCTTGACAGCTCCACTCCTAGTACCAATTTTCTATTTATATTAGTTTTGTTGTGGAAGGTAGAGATCAGTTGTAGAGCATTTTCCTGGTATGTCATTTCCCTGAGTCCCATCCTCAGCACCACAAAAAGAAAAAATACATAGTTTGCATTACTCTAATGAAAACCTGAGGTAGATGAATTTCATGAACAGGTGTCCAAACTTCAGTTTCCAAGGCTGAAAGATGATGATCACACAGCCACATTGTTGCCTCTGCTGAATTTGAAGAGCATGTCAAGGAGAGATTACATCTTTCTTTATTTTTTGAGTCTCCTTGAGGCCCCAGGTGGTCTGGAACTCATTATGTAGACCAAGCTGGCCTCCTTTTCACGGAGATCTATTTACCTCTGCCTCCCAAGTGCTGGAGAGACTGCTTTTTTTTTGTTTTCAAGCACTGTTGGCATTTTTTTCTTCTTTGATTTATTTATTTTTATGGGGCTTTTGTCTACTCTAACATTTCCCCCTCTGAAGAGGTAACCCTAAAATCTTTTAAGGATTAGGTACAGAGTATGTTGCTAAGAGGCCCAAGGATATGGTGAGTTTTAGACAAGAAACTGGCTACTTTTCTTTGGGTATTTGTACCCTAACTGCCTAGCCAATTCTTACCTCCAATTCCCCTTGCTGATGGGGAATCAGGACGTAGACAACTCTAGTTTCTTCTAAGCTGAACAGGGATGCAGGGTGAGACAATTGGAGTACCCCTTCAGTGGTCTATCTAAAAGACTTCCAAATTGCATAACTCTTGTCTCTAAGGGGAAAAGAAAGTCCTTGAATCATGAATAGGAGATGTGAAGGAGAAGTAAAGGCAAGAGTAATTAGCATTACAAGTTCTAGCCAGGGAACTAGAAAAATGTCAGAACAGGGCAATTTTCAAATGCTCATATGAGAGTCCATTGGAATTTCTTGACAAGGGCTTCCAAAAGCATCCCTCTGTTGGGTTCCTCCTCATTTTTCTTTTGTCCTCCAAGATTGCATTCTAGAGTGATGGATTCAGGATTTGCTTTCAGGTATTTTGATAGCTGCTGGAGTGATTAGAGTCAGTGTCAGTTCCCTCTCAAAGGCTTCTAGGTAGGGGGAGAAAACAGATTTATCCATCATTTTAGAACAATAGCTGGTTGTCTCCCTTAGCTACAGGTGGACACTACAGTATTGGAGACCAAAATTTGAAGCCTTACATCTGAGCAGCACTTTCTGCTTAGGAACAAAATCATCAATGAGAAATAATTGTCTAAATAACTTTTTATATAGATGTAAGCCTAATGTGTGGGAAGTGTAATCCCTTGAACTCTTAAAGAAATATACTGATGACTTTATTCTTTGGTTATACTTTCCTTTCGGGTGTTTAAGACCATACAGTTGGCCCAAATAAATCAATTTATTTTTACACTTAAGGTTATTTAAGGATCTGTTCCTCGGGGGTCACATGGGCTTGGAAGGAGCTCCTAGCTCCTTTCTTTTACCAGTTCCATCTATGTGAAGATAAAGGTCTTGCTCAACCATGTTTGGCTTCACTGGGAAGCATGAATGAGATGTTTCCTCTGGGTTGACCCTCCTCTTTGTAGACTGGACACTAGTTCAAGTCCATCCCATGGGTCTCGATGTCCTCCCTGAGCAAGAGGACAGGTAACTCACCACAGTTAAGGACATTTTGAGAGATGTTCCATAGTTCCCTGGAACTTAGTCAACCTTGGATGGCAAGGGGCAAAAACTGTTCTTTAAGTCCCTCTGACCACATTAGTATAGGCCTCAAACTACAGCTGTTAAACATCCAATAAGGTTAGTTCCATTAGTTTGGTACTTTTAATTATCATGTGCTATGTAGATAAGACTTGCGTAAAAACCCAAATATTCTCAGATAAACCTTGATTAGATATATATTTTGTTCCTTAAATCAGTTGACGTAAAAAAACAAATATTCTCAGATAAACCTTGACTAGATATTTATTTTGTTTTTTAAACTAGTTGACTAAATTATACCATAGAAATTTTAAGATTATGTGTATATTATTTTTGTCTCATCCTTTATATATCATAACAAACCTACACAGACCTTCATCACTTGCTTAGGTTTTCTCATTTTTTCTATTTTGGAAAATATCTCCATTTTGCATATCCTTTTAACATCTTTTACATTGAGAGATTGTATCTTAAGACAAGGTCAGAGATACAGATTGAGTTGGGTACGCTTTCATATAGAGCTCAAAGTTTCCACAAGTGCCACCTTAATCCCTTTGAGAGCAGTTCCCTCAGTGACCTAAGTACCTACTACTATGCCATACTATGCAGAATCACCATATTAGGGACAAAGCTCCTAACATGTAAATCCTCGGGGGAAAACATAAGAACCATTTCTAAGCCATTGCAGACCCATTAGCTGTTGGGTTATTGAATTCCCTTGTATTTGTAATAAAAGTTATCAAGACCCCAGAAGTACAAAGGGGTTTCATCACCCTCAAGGATTTTTTTTAATTTTTTAGAAGCAGCATTTCATTACAGCCTTAACATAATAACAATTTCCAGAGCAAAGATACATCCCTTTCAAACGTAGCTATAAAATTTTTAGGTTCACTGTCGAATTAATAGTTATGCAATATTGAACTCAGTATAAGCCCTTTAAGACATAAAATTGAATGAGTTTTTAACCTTTAAAAAATATCTCCATTTCATTTTAAAATATACTGTTTATTGCAGAAAGACTCATTGTTTCTGCTAATAACACTTAGATGTTGATGCATGCGTCTCTAATCTATGTATCTGATTATTACTAGTCATGGTCGGTTACACTCGGATCCTTGGCACCTGTGTATGGAGTAGTAGAGGGGATTTTTTTTTTTAATCACATTTAAAGGTAAAAGACTGCTTTTATTGCTAGGATTGGAGGAAAATGTCCACTTTCAACATTTCAGTATTATACTGGAGGTTCTACGTGGTGCAATTGCAAAATAAGTAAAACTATTTACAAATGATGTGGTTTTATTTGTAGAAAATGTAAAGAAATTTCAAAATACAAGTAGTAATGAACTTAGTAAACTCAAAGAGTTTGAAGCCAACATAAAATATCTCCATATAATGCCAGGCATGGTGGCGCACACCTTTAATCCCAGCACTCAGGAGGCAGAGGCAGGCAGATCTCTGCGAGTTCAAGGCCAGCCTGGTCTACATAGCGAGTTCCAGGACAGTTGGGGCAACAAGGAGACCCTGTCTCAAAAAGGCAAAAAATAAATAAATAAAAAATAAAAACTCCATATAATAGCAATAAAAATTACAAGCCAATTTTTTAATATTGATAAGCAAATAAAGTAATATAGAACCTAGAGGATAGGTTCATGGAGTTTATTATAAAGTTCTTTCTTTATGCTGCTGGAGACATGGCTCAGCAGTTAAGAACACTGTTCCTGTAGAAGACCTGGGTTTGAATTCCAGCACCCACATGACAGCTAACAACTGTCCGTAACTCCAATTCCAGGGGATCCAACAGCCTCTTCTGTCCTCCACGGGCATTGCATGACACGGGTGCACTTACCTACATGCAGGCAATACACTCATACACATAAAATAAAAATAATATTTTTAAAAAATAAAGTTCTTTCAACTTTTCTCTGTGCTTGGGAGTGAAGGGTGATGGGCTTTGAAGTCAGGGCTTCATGGCCCCAGGTAAGCACTGCCACTGACCTATGCCAACAGTTTCAAATTTGATAAGTTAGAAGAAACAATATAATTAAATATGGCATTGGAAATACCAATTTTGAAAGAATTGCATTCAACACTATATTCATAGCTCTATGTGTATATGTATATGTTAACTTTTATATTGAAAACTATAAAACATTGTTCTCAGAGACTGAATTAAAAATATGTCTATTTCACCCAAGCTACTACACTATCTCTGAAAACTGAATTATGG